ACACACATAAAGTAAAATAAGACAAAACGTAGTATATTTCATCATGGAAAGACGGGTAGATAGGCGCTATAACCAATGCGCAGATACAAGATTGTGTCTGATTGGCTACCTACACGTAACAGTACGACCAATCAGAAAGCAGCTTGTTTGTTGACAGGTTTAAAATTCTGCCTTTGACTCAACAAAGAGTCCAGTTCGTTTCTGCCACACCCCTTAATAAAATACTTTGTACCAATATACTGTGTAAACAAGAGACGGTCGCCGACGTCATCGGATCATAATGGCTTCCACGATGCTCATTTCACTCCTGCTTTGTCTAGTTTTCTTCACGCGGATTGACGCGCTAACAAAACCGAATGTCCTCATAATACTGGTCGATGACATGGGATATGGAGATCTCGGCTGCTATGGAAACAAATCCTTACAGACTCCGAATATTGACCAGCTTGCTAGCGAGGGGTTAAAGTTCACACACATGTACTCAAGCCCCACCTGCACACCGAGCAGAGCTGCGCTAATGACCGGTACGTATGAAGTTCTTTCTAATAAGTTTGAAATTTGTCGATATCATTTCTTGACAGCAAAAGTTTGGGTTCCTCGAAGAAATCGATCGGTAAACATTTGTGACAACGGTAAGGTCACGAGCAGGTCACGTGTGCGGGTATTTTATGATACCCTGGTTTGGTTACGAGTCTGGTCTCCTGCCCCAATTTAACGCTGAGGGCGGTTAAGAAATTGAAATTGGGGCAGGGGAGCAGACTAGTTTGGTTACTTCACCCGGGACTCTTTCTATTCCATTTACTGATCTGAATCGGTTTAATAGGATCATAGTTTTTCATGTTTTCCTTTTTAATTTCAGATATTATATATTTTTATATTATTATAAATAATTTTATACTATTATTTTATTTTATTATTTATTTGATAGTAGCTTTTGGTAATCGCGAAATCACACCAGGTGTCGTCACAGTTAAAATTATATTTACCTAATGAAAATTACAAAATAATATAAAATATAGAAAAAAAAATAATAAAAATATACACTGTAATATGCATCATATTGTACTCAGATTGATGATGTTTTTATTTATGTAATTGTGTCTGCAGACTTCGCACAGTCCCAGCACTAAAAGGTAGAGACATTTGTATTTTTCGATGACAAATAATTTTTCTATTTTATCCCATACTTTCTTAACATTGTCGTAATTGCATCGCAGGGAATGTAATAATATACTGTAAAATACTTTAATTAGCTGGATTTAATTTTCGCTGAAAAGTCTTTTTGGGCGTTTCCTTTAAACTTTACTTGGATGGGATATTATTAAAGTCGTAAAATGTACCAAATCATTCAAGAAATGATGATAAGATGGATCACTCGTTTTATTCTTTGGTGATTATTTTTTCAGGTCGTCTCCCGATACGCAGGGAATGCTTCGAGGAAGACTTATTCCATTCTCTGTATTGTTCAGTCCTGCACAAATTGGCGGTCTTGACCCGGAAGAGATCACTTTGGCTGAGGTATTCAAGGAACACGGCTACGCGACTGCTCTCATTGGAAAATGGCATCTTGGAATAGGCAGTGGAGGAAAGTATTTACCAACAAACCATGGGTTTGACTATTTTTACGGGTTACCGATGACCCATTTCGATGCTTGTGGACAAACAGACAATGATTTGCACGTAGTGTATCGACTACTTCCACATTACATCACAAGAAAGATTTACGTGCATTTGATTGGAGCGTTGTTTATTTTAAAAATATTTTCACCTGTTAGAGGGCGCACTTTCAACATCCTCGCAATCTCATCAATTCTGTTGGTTACACTTATTCTCAAAATATCACTGTTGAATCCGTCATCCTGCATATTGATGAGAAATAATGACGTCATCCAACAGCCTTACAAGGCAGAAAACATGACACTGCGCGTGACGA